CACTTTCCTCCTGGGAATTCCTATGAGATGAAAGGCAAAGTTGAGGATGTAAGTGAAGATTTTGCATAAAACGAGTTTCTCCCCCTAGTGGCCAGCTGGACTCATTGCATTTACTCTTTTCTACAGTTAATCAACACTGTCAAGAACAACAAGGACAAGGGGCGTGCAAATCACAGTGCAGTGCTTTTCGGTTTTGGGGATGGTGGTGGTGGCCCCACCCAGCTCATGCTGGACCGCTTGCAACGTGTGCAGGATTCGGATGGTCTTCCCAGGTCACTTCCCGCTCTGAATCCTGTTTTCCTTAGTATAGCCAAAACATAGTCAAAAAGAGGAAGTGGGGTGCCAGTAACATTTGTGAGTTTTGTTTTGACTAAACGTTTGTTGAATTTTATTTGTCAGGGTCCATATGTCCAGCCCAGATCAGCTGTTCTCTGAAATTCAGGCTAGCTCAAGCCTGCTGTGTACATGGTCTGGTGAGCTATTCCTCGAGCTGCACAATGGCACTTACACCACACAAGCAAAGGTTTGTGTGCTTTCTATCAGAAGAACAGTTATGACTTTAGTATTTTCTATTTCCTAGGATGATATTTGCTTTCTGCCCTGTGTGACCAAATAGTATGACATTGTCACAGATAAAGCTGGGGAATCGTCAGTGTGAGGCCCTGCTGCATGACGTTGAGGTGGCCAGCTGCCTGGCTCTGTGTCAAGCTGCAGGTTTTTCATACCCAACTAAAGAGCTCCAGAAATTATGGAGGTGAGGCCTTGACTGAATAATAGTAGTTGAACTTACAAAACTTGAGATTCATTGTGTATTGCTTTCTTTGTAGGCTTCTTCTGCTCAACCAGTTCCATGATGTAATTCCTGGCAGTTGCATTGAGATGGTGGTAGAGGATGCACTAGAATATTATAAGGGTAACCTTTGGGCTGTAAAAAGTGCTTTACTGACTGATATTGTCAGTTCTCACAAGTCACATTTCTTAATCACATAAACCTTACTTAAGGATTTCTTACATTAACTTACAAGCTGTGTCTTAAAGCCAAGGATATAGCCAGAGAAGGCTGGGTTTCTCGGCTGTAATGTCACATGAAGACTGTCCCAATTTGTAGGATCCCTTGACTGCAGCTGAGTTTTTAATGAAATGTTAAATTCAGTGTTTTTTTTTTTTGGTTTTGTTTTGTTTTTTTTTACTTAAATGTGTTGCATTGCTTACATCAGTATGTCTTTGTATACCAAAACAGGCAAGAGCTCACCTACTTTTCCTGCAGACTTGATGTTAAGACATGTCTGCTGTCTTAAATAATATTAATATTGTAGCAGTTGGGGCAGAGCTACTTATTATTGTTAGCGATTTTGGTTTCTGTTCATTATCTTTAATTTTTTTTTATATTTTTATCAGTTCCTTTTATGGAAAAAAAAAGTTGTTTTTTTAGAGGAGAGGTACTGTGCTTATGTTAAAGATTATGTTTATATACACTTTACATGTTTTTATTAATTTTACCATGATGGTGTTTTGTGTTGAAATTTACCAGTTCAGCCTGTATTGGTGTTATTGTACAATTATTGTTAACTCTGATTGGGATCCTGTGTGGCACAGCTGTTTTGTTGCTGTGCCTTATCCTCAATAAACCTACAGGCTGTACTGAACAGTATTATCAGATAATTGATTTGTTGGTCAAGTTCTACTGTACACCTACATCAGTAGTGTAAATGTTGCTATATTTTCCATTTTGTTAATCACAGAATGTGATGTCAATATTAAATAATCTGAGCTTTGATTTGTATAAAGGTAATGATGACACTGTCGGTTAATTATTGAAAATTACTGAAGATGTCCTTTTAACTGTATTTGTCTTAAGAGATTCAACAGACTGGCTCAGGACTCTTGCGTACTGCTTGTAATGCGCTGAGGTCTAGTCCCCTTTTTGGAGTGGGCTCCAGTACAGCAGTCTTCAACACTCTTCCCTGGGAACGCAATGAAGTCATAGCACTGGCAGAAGATGGTGCTCAGACAAAACTAGGTACTTGCAGCTTCAAAAAAAAGGCTTTGTTCACATGATGTTATGTTTGGGATGCTTAAATTGCCTTAGATTCACAAAGACTGGGAAAGATTTGTTATTTGTGAGCAATGCTGGTCAATGAGGTTTATCAGCTCTGCACCTGTTTTCCTCAGCCTTGGTGAAAGCCTCCTGCGTGGGTGTAGCTCCAGTCACAGAGATTGCTGAGCCTGTGTCTGCAGTGTCTGTAACAGTGCAGGTATTGTGTTCTGGAATACATTTTTCATCTGAACAAATTATTGTTTTCAGTACACATCAGAGTTTTGAGGTATGGCCCACTTAATTACAGGCTGATGGTTCTGTCCTAATGGAAAATGGCCTTTTGCGGGCTGTCTTGGACAAAATGGGTCGTTTAGTGTCTCTGCTTCTAGTACAGACAAACAGGTCAGACAAAACAAAATGGAATCTTGAATAGCACAGACTGTAGAGAGTCTGTATTATGTGGACCTATTCACTTGTTTTTATGTATTTGTTTATAGGGAGGCCATATCTGATGGTTGTTTTGGAAACCAGTTTGTGTTGTTTGATGATGTTCCTTTGTACTGGGACGCATGGGATGTGATGGATTACCATCTTCAGACCAGGTGAGTCAAGTCTCCATTATTTATTTAAATACATGTTGTTATAGCACCAGACTATATTAGTAAGGGAATTCACTTTGTTTGTTAGTAAGGTAATTCAGTTGTCCATCTGTTCCCAAGTCGGACTATTTGTGCAATATATTGTGCAGGTCACAAACATTCTGTTTCCAGGAAGCCAGTCGTGGATGTGACACGGCCTGCTGAAGTGACAAGCTCTGGTGGCCTGCGAGGTAGTGTTATATTTTCCTTGCGTATCAGAGAAAAGAGCAGTATCACACAGGAGGTCATACTGGATGCCAGCTGCCCCTACGTCAAGTTCAAAACACAAGTAAGGACAGCATGTGTCAATGTAGTGTAATGCAGAACTCACAAGAATGAGTGCAAAGCCCTTGATTCCTTCAGGCCAATGTTTGAAAGAGATTTCTTTTTTAGGTGCACTGGGCAGAGGCCCATAAGTTCCTGAAGGTGGAGTTTCCTGTACAAGTGCGAAGTCCCAATGCCACCTATGAGATTCAGTTCGGTCACCTGCAAAGACCTACACACAGAAACACCTCCTGGGACTGGGCTCGCTTTGAGGTGCATATACGAGATATATATATATATATATATATATATATATATATATATATATATATATATATATATATATATAAAACATTTGATTATGTAAAGTTTGAAGTCACTTGAACTGTGGCATTTGTTAATACCAAATGGATAATCTTTCCCAATCTATTAGCAGTTTCCAAACAAATGTCTGATTTCTATATAAACCTGCAGGTCTGGGGCCATAAATGGGCAGATCTCTCAGAGCATGGTTTTGGCGTGGCTCTTTTGAATGACTGCAAATATGGCTATTCCGTTCATCAGAATGTCATGACTTTATCCTTGTAAGTTTGAAAGTTTAATAAGACTATCAAGATCATATGCTATTAACACTCCACATTCCACAGCAAACCTGTTTACACTGTTTAACTTCTCTCAGACTGCGGGCCCCGAAGGCACCTGATGCCAATGCAGATATGGGACATCATGAGTTCACATATGCAGTGATGCCACATGCAGGTCAGCCCATATAAATTTGCTATAAAATGCTATTTAACCAAAGCTATGAACAGTATGAAACTCTGGCTTTCTAACAGGTTCTTTTCAGGATGCATCAGTCATCCAGCATGCCTACAATCTCAACTTCCCATTGCATCTGATTCCTGATGTCAGCATCGCCCATCCCTGGAGCGCGTTCACTTTGAATTCATCAGCTGTCATATTGGAAACAGTGAAACATGTACGTAGGCTGGAAATGACCTCACAAAGAACTGTTTCCTACCTGCTCTGTCAGCGCTGAGTCGGCCTCTTCCTCTCTCTCCTGTAGGCTGAAGGAAGGAAGAATGCCCTTGTCGTTCGTCTGTACGAGTCTCATGGGGGCAGTGTTGCTGCAGTGCTGTCTACCTCCCTTCCGGTGCTCGGGGCTTGGCAGTAAGTTTTGTTTGTATAGATGTTTACTGCATTAATTTTATGTGACTAAAGCCTTGCTTGAGCTGGATGTGTTTTAGCTGGGGAGTTGATGTAATATAATACCAACAAGATCCATGATTTTAAATCTCGTACAAATCTGCATTCTTCATAGTCACAATAATTCCAAAATTCAACCAAACCCAAAGCTCCCTCAGGGATATTCGTCCTGTTCAAATTGACCATGTTAATGTGGTAACAAAACCTGCTAACAGACACAGCCATTTACCTTATTGTTGTTATTGAATGTGCTGCCTGTCACATAACTTTGACATGTTCATACAACATTTCAGTCTGTGTTAATTTGTGGAAATAACAGATGCTTCATCCTATATACATTTCAGTCAAATCCCTTGGAAATGACATTACAGAACTTCAGTTAAAACAAACCAAGGTTGAATAGTGCTTATTTTTTCTCTTTTTGACCACAGTTGTGACCTGCTGGAGCAGCCTGATCCTACTCACCCTGCTGCACTGAGCGGCCGTGACATCTCCCTCAGTTTTAAACCGTTTCAGATCATCTCACTCCTTTTACAGTTGCACTAAAGCAAACCACGGAGTACGGATCAACCGGCTGGTGATATTTTAAAAGGACATTTTTATAATCAAAAGTTAAGCAGTTTATATTTTTCACTAAAAACAAATTGCATTAAACTTTATAATGTTTTTTTTGTAATTTCTGAAACTTGAAAACCTGATACTTTTAATTGGTCTTAGAAATACTTTTAAATTTCAGCTATTTCATTTTTTTCCCCTGCTGCAGTGTAGTCTCAATAGAAGGACTGACTGCATATTTAGTGCATCACAAAGAACTTGTCAACTACAAAGCTAATGCCATAAGACAGGACACAGGCTTTAGAAACACCTTTTATTTATCCTTTTACAAAATATAGACAGAAAATGATAGTAGTGGTCCCATACAGTAGTTGATCTTAGTCTTCTGCATCCTGATGCATGTATGGCAAGTTTGTTTAAGAAGGGTTTCTCTTCTATTGCACAGCTACCCATCTGTGGTGGCCCCGCAATTTTGTATTTACATACTTCCAAATGGTTACTAATATCTAAACACATCTTCGACTACTTCTAAAAATGATCCTAAGCTTCTGTACTGCTCTTTTTCTGGGATCTGGTGGTCCTCTTAGGTTTAGTGTTGCTTTCTTGTACACTCTGCCTTCTCGTGCTCTTAGCCTTGCTAGTCTGAGGCCCTGGAACAAAACCAAGTATGTGTAGTTAAAAATGTTCTTTGTAAGCAAAGTGAAAAATAAAAAATGGACATTAAAACCTGAAAATCACCTGTCGAGTTGCTTTTCTTGCGCGTTTTAGGTATTTTGTTCTCACCAGCTGCTTCTGTATCAAGTCTTTTCTTACTTGCATTCTGTCTCCTAGTGCCACTCTGTCTCCTAGGCACATACTTTACCTTCTTTACAGGGCCTGGATCTTTCTTTACAGGCTTTTCATTTGAAATGCTCCCAGTTCGCTTCTTTTTGGCAGCCTGATAAGACAAGATATACAGTATGTATGAGCAGCTACAGAGTTATTTCAAGTGATTTTCATGGCATTTCTGAATCTCACCTTCTTTGAATCTGTATAGTCATGTTCACTTTTCTTTATTCTCCTCTTTGTCTTGAGAGATTTGGAACCTAAATAGTGAATGGCTTCAGTCAGTTTTGCTTATTTGTTTTTTGATTAAACAACAAAAAAAACCCAATAATAAATTACCTTTAGGTGCCATAGGACCAGAGTCACCCTATAAGTCACACAAGAAAAAAATTACATATATACATAGATGATGTAACTAACTGCTTTATTTTTTAATTGTCAGTCTTTTCAGTGAACTTAAGACTTAAGTGTATAAACATCACCTTAAACCATATAGTTCTTCCATTGTGGTCACTGATTGAATTCATTCCATCTACATAATAACACTGCAACCAGCTTTCAAATTCTGTGAAATCGGCATCCCCTGGATCATACCCTTTTCCACCTAAAAGTAAGAAAAAACAGGAGGAGACAGCATAATTAAGTAAAACTTAAAATAATACTCAGACATACTTTCTACAAAAATTTTAAGCCATTTGAAGCTTTCATAAAGTAGAAAAAAGTCAAATGTGTCATCTGATTTTATTCAGTCAGTTTAAATTAGTGTTGCTCATTCCAATCACTCAATGTTTGAGCAAAATGTCTCGATCTGATCTGTTTAGTGAATCTCTTTTTCTCTCTTTACCAAAAAGTATTGACAAAAACACAAGGTTCTGTGTTAAAGATTCAACATCCAGTCCTTAATTTCAGCACTTTGTCAATTTATATGAGAGAAGACGACACGTGATCAGTATTATAGAATGCAGAAGCAGTAGGGGCGTTAATGATGATAATGTGTTGACGTAGAGAATGAGGCAGAGTTTTTAAAATGCACAGACACAAGGCACAGGAGTTCAGTCATTAGTATAAACCTTGCTGCTAACCAAACAAGAACTGTGAATCTTTGAACTGTAAATCCATTTGATTCAAAAATGATTTGTAAACTAAAAATGTTTTGATTCATTAAACAGCAGTTTGATTCAACAATTTAACGTTCTTCAATATTATAATGCGTTAAATGTAAAAACACGACATTAAGGCATAATATTTGAGCATCATTTTTCATCAAACCTTTCTAGTCCATCACAGTAATCATATGAATAACTTCACAGTAATGATCACATCGCCTGCATATGAGAAGAGGAAGCTGTTAGGCTGGGGTGCCGCAGCGAGCTCATGTTCAATATGCAATGTGCATTGTGTATTATCGTGTACTGTTCTAAGTAAAGAGTTTCGAGCATCGAGAAAACAAATCAACAGCTGCATCACTGGTATCAGGGACTGTGCCGTTCAATACAACTTGAATTCAATGTGTATAGATGTGTATATCAGGCTTACGTTATATTTCAATACACAGATATAGCGTCTGCTTAATAATACTTCACAGACTGTTAATAACACAGTGTAAAAAGCCAGAGACCACGTTTTACCAAGGTCTATCACCTCCAGAGGTACGCTGTGGCAAAGCGAAAGAATGTCCGAGCACCCAGTTTTCACCTCCCTCTTTCCAGCTGCATCACACTTCTGTATAGGAAAAAGAACAGGGCTGTTATTGTGGTAATGTGCAAGACTAGCGCTTTTATCAACAGGATTTTTTTTACCTCTGCAGCCGCCTCTTTAACTTCCTTTGTCTTTTCATCTTTTGCGGAGAGTCCCTCTAGCACAGACCTTGCCTTCACAAAGGGAGGGATATTTGCTCTGGAATGGGAACAGCGGCAAAAATGAGTCTTTGTTCTCAAATCTGATGTGCATGTGTTCAACATCTAGATGGTGAAGAAAAAGGTCAGTCTCAGTATGCATGTATGCCAGTCATGAAATGGCTGGGATGCATGCAATGGTTTTTTCCCAGTCTGAGAGCCATTATGCATCATTCCTAGTTAAAATGATACTGGCACAGGCCTGGCAGGGCACATTTGGAGAGATGTGGAGCAGGGAAGTCAGAAATAACCTGTAAAGAATCTCTGCCCGCAAGTAGTTACCAATCCCATTGAAGTACTTCTGATTTAACAGAGCCTCACAGATGGGCCTGTCGAATGCCTTGTCTGATAGGTTGGACAAAACATTCTCCCTGAAAGATAAAGAACATAATATGTGCAGTATTAGTGTTTAATTACATTTATCCATGTATTTTTACTAACTGACTAGTTGAGATTTTTTCAAAAATGTCTGTACTTTTACATCATTAAGGATTAAATAATTTACTAATGCCAAATGCAGCATTCTAGCAGAACTGTTCTGAGCGGTACTGATAGGAACCAGACGTCCAAAGCATTTAATGCCTCTCAGAACTACATCACAAAGTTACTACACACAATGGTTACGAGTGCGCTGCCCAATATATTGTTTTTCAATAGTTTTGAGGTTTTGGCCCAAAATATATTAAATTCATGCCAGAGAGGTACATGCATGGTGTTATCAGGCAAAATATTCCCCATAGAAAACTTTTTTAGATTTACCACTAATCTGCCATTTAAAAAAAGATATTAAACTGAGAAAACGTGAAGGTTCACTGCTCATTTAGACAGTGAATAAACTGGCTATGTTTGTGTTGTGGACTTCTTGACTCCTGGTTCCTATCACCACCACTGTAAAGACGTCAGTCAGTAAGTTTCTCTATAATGCACCATTTCACATCAAACCTCTCTGTTACCACATTTTGGAATTCCTCCAAAATGTGGTAACAGTGGCTCCCAACAGACCACTGCAGTCATGTTGTCATTCTGTAGTCAGTGCCCTGCTCTTATACCCATAAAAGAAACTGCAGGTCTAAAAAGGACTCCTCTATGAGAAGAATGAATGGAGTTTTTGAAAACTGCCTCTGTCGCATCCTTTAGTAATCAAAAATGTTCTAAAGCTGATACGTTTTGTCCTATAAACATTCTTCTCTCGAACATCACTGGATCCTCTGAATTATGAGGTCGTTAAACAGCTGAAATATAAATACTGCTACTGTGCACTGAATTGACGCCATTACAGCGTCAGCCTCCTTAAACAACTGCACAAACCAGCATGCTTTGCAAGTGTGGTAGCATATTTCTGTGTACAGAATGAAGGCAGATAAAAGGAAGTCCCCGAAGGACATTCACCAGATTCTTGTTCGCATTTTCTGTGCCACCTTAAATGGTGCTGAGGTTTTATAATAACTGCTGCACCATTTAAGGTGGATCAGGAAAATTCCAACAAGAAGCTGGTGAAGAAGGAGCTGACCAGCTTCCTTGAGAGTTGAAAACCATGAAAAGGGATGAGGAGGTTGCTCTGTTTCTGCTTGACAGGTGGGTAACTAACTTATTTTGGCCTGTTTGCCAATGTTTAATGTTTATGATAGCTAATCACAACTGCTGCACCATTTAAGGTAAAAAAGAAAAAGAAAATTCAAACAACACACTGTCGAAAAAAGAAGCTGACCTTAGCCTCGTAGTTTTTATGCTGATATTATTTTTTGATACGGAGATTTAGGCCATCAAAATATTCTACCTAGAGGTTTTATGTACAGATAAATATGTACACAGGACAAAACGTATCAGGTCCTAAACATTTTTCTTTACCACAGGGCGCGATGGAGGCGATTTTTCCACAACCCCATTCATTCTGGCCAGAGAAATCGAGCTTAAACCCGGAGATCCTAAAATGGTCATAACGCGGACTACAGAATGATGCACGACTACAGAGTCACCGGGTAAAGGTTAACTGTTTCAGGCCCCACCTAAAGCTCTCATACTCGAACATGACACATGGCCCTCTATCTCGCTGCCAAATCCCATTGGGTTGCCAGCTGCCAAATCTGCGAGTGTCTACAAAGCTGAGCGCCCTTTGGGGGTCCTCATTGGTGTAGAATCGAACATGCGCATGTTTTGGGAGCTCGTCCACTGCTGTGAAACGGAAATAGCCGGACATTCCGAAACGGAAGACCACATCCATTGGCGGCTGGTCTTCCTCTGCTTTGACTTTGCTTTTTCTATCACTTTTGATGGGAGTGAGTGTGAGGCGGACTTCCTTCCCTCTGGAGGTAGCACTGATGCGGTAGGCATCGCTGGAAAACGGCACCTGGGGTCCTTTGCTGACGTCTGACTTTTCCACATGTCCGCTAAAAACCACACCTGCGCACACTCTGTTCACAAACAGGCTGGCCAAGTGGAGCTCCGGACCCTCGGGCATCGCGCTGTGGATATTCAAACACACATCACATTCACTCACAGGCCGTTAACCGCAGCCTAAATATGCTTCTAGCATCACAAACGGAGATTACTGACTAGCCAAGAAAACAGACACGCTAAGCTGTTACATAACAGTTCAGCAGCCACTGTGCAGTGAAAGTCGGTAAATGTGGAGGTTAACTCTACTAAGAGCTCATTCCTGAAACACATCGCACTGTCTCCTGCCATTAATCATCTAACCAGCACAAACATCTCTATAACACCAAATTGTGTCGTGAATAAACGATAGGGGTGCACAACAAACTTACATGCTGCAGCAAGACGAGTACTACTTATACAGACGCGCATTGGTCATTTATGTTTACGAAACGGAAACCACGGGGCTGACGGGAGCTGTAGTTCTTTTTTTCCTCCAAATCACTACAGCAGATAAAATATATACAAGCACCAGAACGTAACAAAGGTGGATGTACAACAGTAAAAAAATACTACAATAACCTGGAAACATTTTAATAATAATAATGAGATGAAGAAGAATTCATTTTATGTATAATGCTTCTTTCATTTAAGTATAAATCTCAAGGAGCAACAAAATATAAACATAAACAAAACACAGCTTAACATTTAGGGAAAAACAGTCCATACATTCCATACATTTAAGAAAACCAAAAGAAGAATACTGCAGAAAGATGGATATGTCCTTTTTGCTTTATTTTCTGCATTAACAAAATTAATAAATAGGAATTCAGTGCCCCCTCCCGAGAATAACCCTGTATGTCTTCCCTAGTAAGCATGCTGTTCCTTTGCTGGACAGAACTAGCTGTAAGAATCTACGTAGTTGGCTATCTGCACCTCATTAATTCTTGACAAGGCAGCAAAATTATTTCCATTATTTAATTATTATTAAATATTCTTACATTCCCAAGCAAGACAGTAAACTGTTGTACGGTATAGTGTAGTGGGTAACAGCTCTGCCCTCCTCCCTGCAGAGTTTGATCCCTACTCAGGCAAGCTCCCTATACTATACAAACAGGAAGTCTATGAGCAAGACTTGGAACTTGCTGACTTGGATTTCTTTACAGTGGTGGTGATAGGAAACAGGTGTTTTGATGTCTACTATGCAAATATAACCTTTTTTTTTGCTTTTCAAAAACAACCAGTGAACCTACACATATATTCAGAATATATATAAATATATAAAATGTGAAATAGTGCTAAACAAAAAAAAGGGTTTCTTCGGATGTCTGGTTCCTGTCTCCACTGCTGTGAACAATTCTGACTTGGTAGTTTTCACCAGAGCATTTCACATCAAAACACTCTGAATGACTGACAGTACCTCTGCCTACCTCTGCAAAAAGACCAAAATGTAAGTCACTCTGAATAAGGGCATCTGCCAAATGCCATAAATGTGAATAAATAACATACCCCCACTTCAGCATCACAAGTGTATAAAAAGATGGAAATCTCTGGGAACCAGAATAAAGCACTGCTACGGTCAATAACACAGTTAGATTGTTTATTTTGTTAACATCAACAAAAATTATACAAAATTGTACAAAATATTTAAAAAACAGACTCAGTACATCTTTTTGAAGAAACTGATGGGTATCATAGTTATTGAAGTCTCTTGTAGTGGGACAAGTTCAGGTTTGTCTTCTGTTTCAATACAACATCTCCCACCATCCATCAAGATGTTTGCTCCTTCATGGAGGACATGACATTGATGTTCATAAAGATATTTTACAATTTGCAAGACAACTTGCAATATTCACATCGTTAAAACACAAATGTTTATTAATCTGCATTAGTCATATAACCTATCTGAACCTACTGTATTTGTACGTGTTTTCAAAGGAAAAACGTAATACAAGGTGGAATCACTGCAGTGCATTCATAATAGCTTGAGCTTGTTTGAGTTCTAGAAAGCAAAGAAAAAAAAACATAAATTAATACTTTACATACACCAAATGTGTATATTTACAAAATGGAACTGTCACACAACAAAGATTTCAAATATCCTAAAGAGAATAATACAATAACATTCTAATAGCAAAACATTATCATTTTGAGTAAAACACTTCATACCTGTTAGTAACACTCTGAACTTATCTGCATTGACAGACACTACGGTGGTCTCTGTGGAGCCAGATTCTGGGTGTTGAGCCTGGAGTTTCAGCTGGACTGTGGGCTCGTTCACTACTTTCAGTTCACTGGAGCTCAGAGTGTAGTCCACCCTCCAGTTTACTGCCTCCAGACGACCCACTGGATGCACAAAGTAATCATGATCCTCATTTGTGATACACCAGTTTTCAGCATGTATTCACTGGCAAGCAAGCAGTAGCGCATCATTAAAGGGAAACTCCACTGTGTCTTAAGAGCCTCAGCATAGTTAAATTGTTCAGATTGGTTTGATCTGAAATGGCACATTCAAGAGGAACTTGCTGACTTGGATTTCTTTACAGTGGTGGTAATAGGAACCAGGTGTTTTGATGTCTACTCTGCAAATATAACCTTTTTTGCTTTTCAAAAACAACCAGTGAACCTACACATATATTCAGAATATATATATAAATATATAAAAAAGGTTTCTGTTGGTACTATTTTGCCTTACAACACCCTGCATGTACTTTAAAACTACATTTTAGATCAAAACCCTATTGCAAATCTATCATAAAACAATGACTCAGCATCAGGTAACATATTTGTAATTATTTGTAATCAAAACTTTTTGTGAGTTAGCATATAGATGAATTAAACTCTTTGGATGTCTGGTTCCTGTCTCCACTGCTGTGAACAATTCTGACTCTGTAGGTTTTACCAGAGCATTTCACATCAAACACTTTTTGTGTGATTTTGTTTATATTGTAGCAATTGAATTACACAGAACTTCACCTGAAAGAGTTCATCTTTAAGACTACATAAAACAGCTGGACCATTCCCATTCCCACATGCACTCTGTTCACATATGTACATTCTGTGCTATACTTACAACGCAGACTGCTCTCCTTCAGTTTCTCCTGCAGGGCTGCATGTTTGTCTTCATAGGACTTACACAGCCCAGTGGTGTGCTCTACGAGATATAGGTATTATTAGTTACTGAATAATTGCCAGGTTGGCAAAAAATTAACTACTTACACCAGCAATTTGTTATTAAGTAAAACAATGCTGAGATGGTTTTATTAAATCAGTAGCTCCTATAACCCTGGTCTGGGAGTAACCTTGGCCAACACAATTCCGTGCTTTCCCCACTGATCCAACAAATCAGCTCAGTACCATGATGGCCTTCTCCAGTTAACGTAACATTGTTAGATCACTAAAATTTATAGGATGGGGTACTCCAAGATCAAGACTGGAAACCTGTACATGCTGTACCGTACCAATTTCATATCATATCAGTTCCAGGATCATCCTCACCTTTAGGCAAGCCTAGCTGCTGAAGTTCACTGGACAGGGATTCACCATCAACGTCATGCTTTGCAGCACTGGAGAGAATAAAGCTCAGCACTGCAACACTGGCCTTAATATCTCCACTGTCTGGAACCAGGATGCACATGGTGAGGATAATTGTGTTTGACACAGCAACATACAACAAACAGACGATGATAACACAAATCTGTAAATAACTAAAGAAATAATCAGTGTGAATAGTTATACTTTATGGCCTATTTTGAAGATCTCAATTATTTGATTGCATTGAGCCACAAGAAAGTCACACAGGAAGGTCAGGAAGTTAGTTCTAGTTCACAAACTTCAACACATCCCAAAGATACTGGATGGAGCTTCATCACTCCAGAGAACACAGTCCTACTTTTCCACAGCCCAAAGCTGGGGAGCTTTATAATCCTCTAGCTGACGAATGGTATTGGGCATGATGACCTTAGGCTCATGTGCTGCTGCCCCAGTGGGGGATTCTATTGTTAATTCTTTTATAAAGTCATTATACAAACTGTGTGTGTGTGTGCAATAGAATGCGATGAGTGCACCATAAAGCAGCTGAATTCATTAATAAGAAGGAGTGTCTGGATACGTTTGGACATATAGTTAATGTTGTAGGGGAGAGTGGCACAAACTAACACAGGATAAAATGTAACAGGGATATTTTATGCAGATAAAAGCCATGTTCAAATAGAATGTGCTTTTAATGATTCCTATAGCAACCTCAGCTTCAAATTTTCACAGCAATCATTCAGATGTTTCTCCAGATTCACCCTAAACACTGTTTTTGTACCATTAAGTATTATTGTTCATCTTAAGTGTTTTTTCAATTACCGAGTTGTGTGTATATCAGTTTTCAGTCCTATACTGTTTTGATTTCTCTCTTGGTGGAGGTAATATTGCACTATTTTGAAGTATGTATATAATTCACAGTGAGAGCTAGCCAGGCTAAAGTACAGCCTCAACACCATGGAATTAGCCTTGCTGCATCACAAAGTCCATATCCTCCCATATAAATTCAATGCTGTTCTGATATTTACTCTTCTACTTTGGGGATAAAATGACTATGCCATGTTTGACACATTTTCTTTTATATTTCACTATTTATACACATTACGACAAATATGTTTTTATATATTTACATTGGAAAGCCTGTCTGGTTTTCAGATTGTAGGAGACTTGTAAGTTGCTTGTTTTAAAGAACTATTTATGTTGTTCAAATTATTGAGTAAATTATTCAGGAAAAAAAGCTCTCCTTTGTACTGGTTACTGGGGTGATCTATTCTTTCAGGGGTGCATACTGCACAGATCAAAAAACAAACTTCCAACTCACCAAATTTTGCATCAGAGGTTAGCTTTGCGACTTTGTCATACTGAAAAGAAAATTACGTTTTAAATATATCCATCCAGGCTAAATATATGGACTATAACAGCTCTAACAAACAAATGTCTGAAAACTTACATCAATGCCGTCGTCGAGGAGGTCTTTTATAACCTGTCCACACAGTAGTTTCATCTTGACGCTTGACTGTGGTGCAAAAAAACGAGAAACTGAATAATAATAATGTCAGGAGTGGTTACTACAGACCGGTCTTATCATTCATGAGCGAAATCACGTGATGTGCATGGTTATAGGAAATGAAGCGATAGACACGGGCATAACAAATGAAAGAAGGTACTCAACTATTCGTGCTAATGTGCTGATTTCAGCTAAAACCCAGTCCGGACAGTCCAAATCTCCACAAAATCGGAACCGCTGAAAGAGTAAGTTACAGTGACAGATGATTAAATGACAGTTAGCTGACTCGGCTAACACTAGCAGTGCCAAACTATGGCTAAGCTAAGAACCTTCGACTGTTTTAAGCCACTCGCAGCCTGAACAGCCCATGATAATCTAGGATATATCTTCCACATAGAAAATAAGACCTGAGAAAATGATTTTAAATGAGAAAGTCACCATGGCATCAGTTCTGCAGATGCGTCTTCTACTGCGTCTTCTTCCTCTGTAACCTGGTTGACATGCTCCGTGCTCCACACCGCCCCTATCGGTATGCAGTGAACACTGTCTCAGCGGCTCTAAAAATCGGCCTCTACTAAGCACCGTCTATTAACACTGAGCCCGCATGTAAACACTGCGTCAGCGTTGAATATTTGCGTTTTAAACTCTGAATGTTACATATGTATTTATTTACAGTCTTTATTCAGGAACATCACAAACTTGAAAACAGTTTCTTGTAAACCAAAATCAAAAGATCCAGTGATGAGCTGGTTTGGTTCTGATTTAGCACCCAGCACCCAGAACACCATATGCTGGTTTTGCTGATGACCAACCATGCTGCTGTATGCTGGTTTTTGTTTGTTTTGTTTTTTTTTTTTTAGCAGGAATTTCCCACAGTTTCATTTGCATGCCGTGGACAACTCCAGCTCCATGAACAATGTTAAACAATGTTCAATGACCAAACTTTCAACTGAACAAACAAATAATAAATAAAAAATAATAACTTAATAAGGCCATAACATACAGCAAGAAGGGTCTGGGTTTGATTCCCTTTATGTGCGTGCATGTCCTCCCCATGCTCTGCATAGGTTTCCTCCCGGTGCTCTGGTTTCCTCCCACAGTCCAAACACATGCAGTCAGGCCAATTGGAAACACTAAATGTGTGTGTTTGACTCTGTATGTCTGTGTGTCTGCCCTGTGTTGAACTGGTGACATGTCCAGGGTGTTTTCTGCCTTCCACCCATTAAGCACTGGGATAGGCTCCACCACCTCTGAGACCCAGGAGAATAAGCAGCTTGGAAGATGAATGAATGAACGTTTATTATAATGAACATAAATACACTAATGGCTGCAAGCCGAGGTTTGATCTCCTGGCTTACTTGGATATGAAAGTACTGAAGATGACAGTCTAAACAGCTGCAGGAACAGAAAATGAAGCCTGAAATATTTTATTGTGTGAACATTTTAGCTTTGAATATTTTGAAATATTTTATTGTGTGAACATTTAGAGCCAAATATATTTATAACTTAATGAACATGCAAGACTTGTTAGTACATTTATATCACTCATAATATAAATTGCTTTTATTTAACAGATTACCACAACAACAATAAAGCTAATTTTTGCTTGCACTCCATTTGCAGTGTTTTAGCACCAAGCTAGTGCTGGAGTGCTTTCCCATTTCATGTCAGGTCCATGTTAAACATAGATATTTGAAACAGACAGTTGTGTTAGGTTTCACTGTGACTCCCTCTTCAAAGACTGAACCTTGAAGCATGTCTATGGAGGAGCCTGTTTAAAAAAAAATAATTATGTATTTCTCTTAATTGTTATGCTATTGTTTTGCAGTTTATTACACATTTCCTCAAATATTTGTAACTTTTTTACTGGATTTTCTTTTTTTTTTAATACTACGTGAGGACGATACACTATATGGCCAAAAGTATGATTTCAGGTGTTTCAGCCATACCCATTGCTAACAGGTGGATTAAATCAAGCACATAGCCATGCAATCTCCATAGACAAACGCTGTCGGTATAATGGGTCATACTGATGAGCTCAGTGACTTTCAACATGGCACTGTCATAGCATGCCACCTTTGCCACAAGTCAGTTTGTGAAATTGCTGTCCTGATAGGTCTGCCCCTGTCAACTGTGAGTGCTATTATTGTGAAATGGAAGAGTCTAGGAGCAACAACAGCTCAGCCACAAAGCAGCAGACCACATAACTCACAGAGCAGGGCCACTATGTAGTGCTTATCCTCTGCTGCATCACTCACTACACATTTCCAAACTGTTTCTGGAAACAACATCAGTACTGTGAAGAACTGTGAGTCGGGAGTTTCATGAATAGGGTTTCCATGGCTGAGTAGCTTAACACAAGCCTAAGACCATTATGCGCAATAACAATGCTACTGGACTCTAAAACAGTGGATCAATGCACAGTGCCAACAGTAAAGTTTGGTGGATGAGAGACAATGGACTGGTGCTGTTTTTCAGAGTTTGGGCTCAACCAGTAACCCAGTAAAGGGTATTGTTACTGCTACAGCATACAAAGATGTGTAAGACAACTATATGCAGCCAACTTTGCAGCAACAGTGTGGGGAACACCCTTTCCTGTTCCAGCATAATTATTGCCCATGGTTTTGGAACGGGATGTCCACCAAGCTAATATGAGTGCAGTCAGATGTCCACACACTTTTAGTCATAAAGTGTACATCATTTTTTTATTAATGAATTGTTTTAATTATTCTCATTTTTATTTAATTGTATTTACTTATATAAGAATTTTAGGTTCTTTTAATTGTATGCTATTTCACTGTTTTATTTACATTGTTTTACTCTCTACAACTAGAGAGTAAAACAACTCTTTCTACACCTCTTGCTCTCTTCCAAGGGCCTGTCATTTGCAGTCTTTGATGGAAACCATAAAGCATGAAAAAAATGACAGCAATATATAGTTGTGTGTAGTAGATGCTAAGTGTGAGACACAACATAGATTTTGCGCACATTTTAATTGTGCCTCGTGATAGCCCTGTTTTGGGTGGTCGAAAAAGGAGACAGGTGTTTTATGAGGCTATATATATAATAACAATAACAAAACAACAACAACAACAATTATAATAATATAAATAATATTAATAATAATGCTTGTTTGTGTATGATACATTGAAAGACCTATAATAATGTTTGACGTCACACCTCAAAGCTTATTGCTTAATAACTTAATAACTTGAGAATTAAAATAGCACAAAAAGTTATTTTAGCGGCAAAACCAGAACAAATTAGCACGTTTATGGGGGCTGAGTGACGTCACAGGAAATAAAATATAATGTTTAACTTCTCAAAAACGGTGCCAGCACAAATGATGAATGCTGCGGCACAAACCAGCACAAACAAACAGCAGTATTTTTATTCCGTTCAAGACCACATGAGGGGCCAGCTTCACGGAGGTCTTCCACCTCCTATACACCAACGTATCTCAACCAGCCAACGTCTGTGGAAATAAATTAGCTGGAGCCGGTGTGGGAGACTGTGGTTCGAGCTACAGTTCACAGGAAGGATGACTTTCAGGACCAGCAGCTGGTGAACACTGAACTAAAACAAGAAGTAGCAGGTGTTGGGGACAATAAGAGGGCGGAACCACTGATTTCGTCTTAACCCCCTCTCTACAGGCCACGCCCCACCCCCCACCCATTTCCTAACCATCGCCGTACCGCACTGAAGCAGTGAAGTATTACTGCAGCAAGGACAGCCGGTCCTGAAGACAAAATGCCATTGATTTGCCAGTATTTTCTCCTCGTCTCTGTGTTTGTTCTGTCTGTACTGTGTTCGGGGGAGGTTCCGAGACTAACCCTGCGGCAAGGTAAGACTGGCTTTAGGGAGCTCGAGCATCGTCTGAGTAGTTTTCACTGTTCTGAATTAGGCTAATGCTGAATAAATAGCATCGTGTCTAAGCGCTAGTGCTGCTAGCACAGATGAAAACAGCACTACTTATCATTTAAATACAGACTAACTGTTTGGGAGCTTGCTCAGCTAGATTTGAAGATGGATCCGTATCAGAACTAACCGCTTATAAGCGGGGCTAATTATTTTACTGACCTCTGACTTTTTTCTGACGCAGATAATTCAGACCACCGGCTTCCCTACACAAGAAATTTAAGCCACTCCGTCTTCTTCCTTCAAGAAGAAACAGATACCCTGTTCATTGGAGGATTAAATTGTGTATTACAAGTCAATATAAACGACAGCCATGTTTTGAAGGTAATTATTTGATTCATGATGTTAAAATCTCTTTTTTTTCAAACAAAATGAGCTAAAAATCAAAAGCTTTTTAGTCCTGTACACAGCATTTCAGTACATAATAAGATGTATTGGTGAAGAGTCATCTGTAAGGTAAATTAAAACTTGGCACAAAATTGTCCAGTTTAGGAAGAGTTTAAATGTCTTTATTTAATTGAATAAATCTAAAACAGCACAGAAGACCTTTAACATGTGTCCACAGGTCTTCCTGATATTTTGCTAAAGGTTAGTTAGTATTCTCACAGTAGTGCTTTTTCTTAGCTACCTTGGCTGAAGCTCATGTGCTGAGCTCACTGATGATGTACTGAAGCCCACAACAGTTGAACAGTTATATAACTGTTGTGCTGCTGTTGGGGGTTACAGGAATTATGTGCATGATACAAAAGTCGTGTACATTCCTGTTTGAAAGTTTTCCTTGATATAAAACCATTTTGGTTGTAAATATATGTATACAGTGACTTTATTATGAATACTTATCAAGCAATTTCTTGTACAGTATTGTAGCACATTCAAGAAAATTCTCATGTTGATTCTGGGATGTTGTTCTCCAGCAGTTAATCTCTGGGTTTATTCTGACAAAGACCTTTAATTAGTGAAGGCGAGACTATCCCACTGTCTGTGTTTATGCGTTAGAATTGAAAGGAACTGGGTGTCAGTGGGAGCTTAGAAGCAAGAGAGTGTAAAGCACAACAACCTGTGCCACAGTATATTATTTATCATTTCACAACTTTTTGATGTATATGATGAATAAAATATTTTAAAATACCTTCTGTCATCTATCTTGTAGTACTTCTACACTGTTGGTTATTATTAAATAAATTGCAATTATTGCAAAAAAGCAATTATTATGATAAGTGATTCCATAATTTTGAACTGTAGTGTACAAGTGTATGCATTATAACAAAGCAGTGCAGAAACTTTAAGCAAATGATGTGCTTTGAAACCTACCAGATATTAATTGTTTGTTGTTATTGTTGTTGTAGAACTTCACTCTGATAGCTAACAGAGATCAAAGTTGTGATAAGGTATGTATGTAAACTGATTTCTCACCTTTGATCATTTCTATATGTTCCATACCATGAAGAGAGAAGGACTCGATACTGTCTTCACTGATAATGCACACTTGTGGGGCACCAATTAAATGTACATTTCCCTGAATTTCAGTGTTCTCGTGAATATGCAGTCACTGTAATTGAGGAATTCCAGAACAGCATTTTGGTTTGTGGTACAAATGGAGAAAATCCAAAGTGTTGGAAGTTGGTAAGTAAAACACCTTTGTTCCACATGTATAATTCGTCTACATTCTTCATTTGTCAAAACTAGATTCCTTTCTGTTGTCTAAAACAATTCTTTCTCTCCCCATAGCATCCCAGGGATAGCAATCACTTCAGTGAGGTAGAGGAATGTATGGATGGCACTGGCATCTCTCCTCACACATGTTCACAGAACTCTGTAGCTCTTGCAGTGGGTATGTGAGACGTCAGACAACTTAAAGTTCTAGCTAAAAATATGTAAAAAAAATTGGCGCTTGAAGGCGATAGTTCAGCAAAACCCTTCATACTCAGTTTGCATGGACCTAGAAGTTCAAATGATTTTTTTCTTATGTGGGTGCCACTTTTTTTTCTTCTTTAAAGTTACCATTTTGGAGATTTTGTTTTGGCAGCAAAACAGGGTCATAAATAGGCTGTTTATGAAGTGAGCTGGTTGCTGTGATAGCAGGGATACAACTAGATACAGAGCTAGTATTTTCTGCACCTATAGGTAAAGTTTCATGTCTTCATCTAAACTAAACTCTATGGTACAACTCCCCCCATCACTTACACATCTGGAATAGGTTGAAATCGATAGGGCACTCACATGTATTGGTTGTACTGTGCTTATTGATTTCTTTGGCCAACGCTTTACTGACTTACTGCTGAGTTGTAAGAATTCAGTAAGGGGTCGTGGGCAGAAACAAAGCAAATGACAGTGTGCAAATGAAAGCTGAGCAGAACAGTGCACCAGAACACCTTTAACAAGTGTTTTAGCTCAAAAAGGCAGTACAAAACTGTAAAAGTGTATGACGCTTGGTTGTGCAGGAAGCAGGAGTGACAATTGTAAAGCTTTAGTTTTAATGCAAATCCGACTCAGCATTTTTCCTGGTAGGTAACTTAAGCTCTGGCTTTAGCTCAGCTTCGCTGTGATCTGCATGCTGAGAAAAGTGCAGACCATACATTAATTACCAGCTGACTTGCCTGGATTGACCCTCAGCTCTGCAGCTGACGCTTGACCACGCCCCCGCTACCACAGTGACCTTCCAAAATTGTGCTCTGAAGTATTAAGGAAAAACAGGCTCCTTCATTTAGAACAAAGACTGACCTTATAACCACTGCTTGCAGTGTGCAGGTATTGTTTTCTAACAGTGATGTACTGTGTGCACTTGTTGTCTAGATGGAGACCTCTATGCTGCAGCTCCCCTATACAGGGAGGGAACCTCACTACAGTTTCGCAGAAAAGTTGGCAGTCAAACCAGTGTGTGGATGTATGACTCTTGGATTATGGGTGGGTTACAATTGTGCAGCTCGTTTTTCCATGGCTCCAGTGTTTTCTGAGCCAACAAGATCACTTGTTTCTATAGCCGAAGGTCGCCCATTGAAACAAATGATATTGAACATGTATTTGTTTTAATAAAGTCATTACTCACTCTAGCTCTGTTTTCCCCTTCCAGAACCAACCTTCATTTCTGCCTTCTTGGCCAGGAGACCTGAGGATCCGATGCATGAGAAGATTTATGTCCTCTTTCGAGAGAAAAACTCAGACAGCAGCCCAGAGGCTGACCCTTGGATCTCTAGAGTGGCCAGAGTATGCAAGGTGCAGTATACCACTGTTAGATATGGAGCACAGTTATGTTAAGTTTACAGTTACTGTTTTATTCTACCGTGCAGTGGAATGTGGTTGACGGGTTGGTCTAAGCAATAAGCCTTAGAGTTTCTTTAGGCCTTCCCTATGGCTGTGTTCATCATGGCACAGAGAAATAATCTGTCATCTTACCAGAATGTAGGATCCTCATCTGAACAGCTCTTAGGTACTCATTTCCATGCTTATGAAAACAGATTAGCTTGTCGTCACAATATTTTAAAGACACCATGAAAACATTTAAGATCACCCTGCATCAGCCCAAGGTTTATCTTTGAAAATATTTATAGTCTTTTCATTTGCGACTGAAAGGGATACTTCATCAATTCGTTCTTTTATGTTTTCAGTCATTAACTATGCTAGCATTCTGGATGTGGTAATCTTTTTCACAAGACACCGGTAATATAAATAGTCTTTGAAGTGGTTTGGAAGGCATCTGTTCTGACTTTGACTTGAACATTAGAACCCTGATCTTTGTTTTCACAGATGTTTAGTTCTCGTTATTTGTCTCTGCAGGTTGATAAGGGAGGGTCCAAGAGCTTCTTCCAGAATATATGGACATCCTTCCTGAAGGCACGTCTTGTGTGTGGGATTCCTGGTGAGTCTCTGTACTTCAACCGTCTGCAGGATGTCTTTGTACTGCATTCAAAGGACTGGAGAGACTCGCAGGTCTATGCACTCTTCTCAAGCAGCTGGTAAACTTCCTTTCCACATATATATATCATAGAGTACTAGATTAGTAGCTGTTTATTTGAATGTTATCCCTCTTGGTAATGCAATTGTCTCAGTATTTTTTCCGCGCTCTCACTTCTGTTCTATTCTCCTTAGTGTCCTCCTCTGTACACTAAAATTAGCTTACAAAAGAATTACTGAATACCTTCTGGCACACTAGCTGGCAAACCTTTTGTTCTTTTGAACTGGGGCAAAAGCCTCCTAAAAATATTAATACTGCCCAAATAACAGTATATTTCAGAAGTGTTAAGAATTCAGCAAAATATGTTGCCTAAATAACATGTAACATTAGCTAATTGATTTGAACTTTGTAAATGTCGCTGTAAATCCAGCTAGGTCTGGCAGGTTACCAAGGCTGCTACGAAAGTGTCTGTGATATGTGGCCTTGTTAAAAGTACAAGGAAAGAGACCCTCAGACTTCTTCCTCTCTCAGACAATGGCACTCTTAAGTTGTTTACACAAAGACTGAAAGACCTTTGCTGACAGACAGGTTTCTTATGCAAGTTTACTGAAATCCTGAGAAGTTATCAGGTTGATTTAGATTTTTTTTATTGATCATTTGTTCTTTGTTATTGATCAGATACTTGTTTGTGTTAATGAGGTGCATCTTATAACTTGTGCCACAGGAACTCCACAGCTGTTTGCAAATACTCCTTATTTGAACTTGATGCCATTTTTGAGAATTCTACCTTTAAAGACTATGAAGAAGAGATTCCCAGCCCAAGGCCAGGAACTGTAAGGAACTGCTCGTGCCTCTTTTTTGCCTTCTTTTTGTGTGTCTTCATTTTAGTCACTTTGAACAGTCATGCTTATCACAATGGGGGTTAATACAGCGAGCTATATTAGGCCATGGGATATTTATGTATCAAGGGCAGTGCCTAACCCAAGCGAGCTCACTATGCTGCACCAATATCAGTCCTTGGGTAAGTCTTCTAATGCTACATTTGCCTGCCTCTAACATGATAAAAATAGAATAGAATCAGATGAATCATTATATTCCAAATCATGCCCCAAACAGGTTGTTACCTCAGTGTTTCCATACCTATGGAGCAGATTGTTTCTGTCTCTGTGTGTATTTCCTCCTTTGTCATATTTTTTGCCAGTGGTAAGCTATTCTTTTCCACTCTGTGAATGGACAGCATCATTTATAAGTAAAATTTAGGACCAGAAGTCTTATTAGTGCCCATATATTCCCCAATAAGAAACCATATGGAGAAGTTGAGTGATAGCAATGAGAACAATTTAATTAGAGCACAGGCTCTGCACTCTGAGCGTTATTGCATCACGACTGTTTATTTTTATCCTAATGATTTCCTCAGTCTTATTATTAACCCCAATTCCAAAAAAGTTGGGACACTGTGTAAAATGCAAATAAATGTAAATAAAACAGGATGCAATGTTTTTTAAATCTCATAGACCTATATTATATTCACAATAGAACATAAAACACATATCAGATGAAAGTGAGACATTTTACCATTTCATGAAAAACATTAATTCATTTAGAACTTGTTGGCAGCAACGCATCTCAAAAAAGTTGGGACAGGACCATGTTTACCATTGCACAACATCCCCTCTTCTTTCAACAACAGTCTGTAAATGTCTGGGAAGTGAGTTTTGGGAGAGGAGTGTTGTCCCATTTTTGTCTGATGTTGAATTTAGCTTCTCAACAGTCCTGGGTCTTCTTTGCCGGATTTTTGTTTCATGATGTGCCAAATGTTTTCTATTGTCTGGATGGGAGCATATGTTGTTCTAAAACCTAAAAATACTGTTCAGCATTGATAGTGCCTATCCAGATGTGTAAGCTGCCCAGGCCATAGGCACTAATGCCACCCCATACCATCAGAGATGCAGGCTTTTGAACTGTGTGCTGATAACAAGCTGGATGGTCCCTCTCATCTAGAGTCTGCAGGACACAGTGTCTGTGGTTTCCAAAAAGAATTTAAAATTTTGATTCATCTGAAACTTTTTTGAGATGCGTTGCTGCCATCAAGTTCTAAATGAGTTAATGTTTTTCATGAAGCAGTGAAATGTCTCACTTTCAATATCTATATGTTCTGTGTTATATTGTGAAAAAAATGGTTGTATGAGATTTGTAAATCATTGCATTCTGTGTATTTACATTTATTTTCATTTTACACAGTGTCCCAACTTTTTTGGAATTGGGGTTGTATTTGCTTTGTATAGGCCTTTGTATGTGCTGTGCAATGGTGTTTGTGATATGAGGAAATAATTTGAACCGGTTATGCAAGTCAGAAAGTACATAGCCACAAGTCACTGTATCAACAACATCACCCACATGTTCAGTCAAGCACATTTTTGGTGGCATTGCAAAAATACTTTGAAGAAATACTAGTTCGTTCCTCATTCTGTGTTGTCTAAAAACTATTGGAGCACAGTGTGGAAATTCTGCATGGATGCAGGAGCTAAATTGAGGTTTTTGACTGACTTTTTTTTTTTCTTTTCTTTTTTTTCCTGTGGAAATCCATGAAGTGACCAGACAGGTCCTAGAGAGTTGATGTACAGTGATTAAATAGAAATTATTAACTTACTATTCAACTGTGACTTTAAAGTTTCTACACAAGTTGTGCAGTATTTTCATCCACTAAAGGGAACTAACCATTGTTCTGTATTTTTTTTAGTGTGTGAAGGACAGTAGGTCTCTGCCCACGGCTACTATCAACATCATTAAAAATCATCCAGAGATGACTGACTGGGTTCGCCCCATACAGAAAGACTCTCCTTTCTACATCAGCAACAACAATTACACCAGAATAGTAGTGGACAGAGTGCAGGCTGCAGATGAAAATATGTATAATGTGCTGCTGCTTGCCACAGGTATGTGCTCTTGTATTAGTTCTACACGGTATTGTTCCAACGTGTGAAAATAATGACTGGTACAAAGCCAGGAAAGAGATTTAAAAGCTGTATGAGGATCCTAACAGCAGCAGTCTAAACGTTTTGCAAATTTCTTATAGATTTCTTGCCTATAACAGACAAAGGGACAGTGCAGTATTCTGGTCAAGACAAAACGATCACGATTATACAAATACTACAGATACATTCACACTGTCAGCAGTAGAGATAATGTCATGGACCTTAGAGATATTATGGTGATGGTGATAAGCTGTTTTATAGACATTCTTGAAACTGACGTCACTGTCAGAATAACTCTTGATTCTTGAAAAAACTTTGCAGACAAGTAGACTAAATAAAGTAGCACACATTTCCACTGAGCCTCATTTTAGATAACAAAAAACTCCAATTGCAGGAAGTTCCAAGACTTCTGAGACACTGATTAGCATCATCTACGCCAGGCATGATAAACTATGGGCCTTCCAGGCTGCAGAGATTAGTGCTGACCCTTATCTTACATTCCGAATTCATGTGTGCCATTCTGAATAAATATTTTTTTCAGTTGGTTAATTACTATACCGGTAAAGGGAGGCCCATACAGATTAAATGACATACTGCCTAGAATCAACAAGACGTTGTGTGACACTTGAATGTATAAGTACTCAGTGTAATAGTCATGACCACTTTTCTAGAGCTAGTAACCACTCTAACATCGAGCAAGAGAGGAGCCCGTCTGTTTTAATATTTGCCATGAAAGTGTTTTTCATGCCTGTGCAATGGGACATTTAATAATCTTTGAGGTGGTTTACATTAACTGATAACATAGCTGATTGCATTTACTGATGGGCAGGTCTGTCATCAGTGCACCTGTGGCCAATATAAAACATCATCTGTTACAGTGAGAAATGTGTACTCATTTTGTATTGTTCATGTTATTGGAGAACTCGGGTGAAAATTGTGATTTTGTGAGATTTTGTGACAATCAGAAGGATGGTGTATCTTGAAACACAGGGAAATTTAAGCATGGGTCATTGTAGACTTTGAACAGAAATGAATCACTGGCCCTATATTTACATAAAGCACATGACTTCCTGCATCAGGCGAAGACGTATGACTACTCTGGCTAGATATTTCAGACCGTAGGCTTTCTTATCAGCTTTAGTCATCTGTATGTGTACATTTTGTTCTGTGCAGACACTGGTATGATCCATAAGATTTTGGAGGATGGCTCCAAAGCATTCATCATTTCTGAAACACGCCTATGCGGCAGCTCCGCTCCTGTGCAGTCTATGAAGCTTAACTCTGAGAAGGTACAGCTAATTTTGCACAGTATCTATTTATTTTAAAAAGAGATATTAAGGGGAAAAGAGAAGACATCTCTGTCATGACATTCCATAAAAACAGAAGTGAAATATCACATTTCTCACATTAGACACACATTAAATTATTGTGTAAACATTTCTGACTTACATTTAGGCATAATGGTCCATTGTTAGCTCTGCTGTTGAAGAGTTAAAAAAGGAGTTGTGGTTTAACAGTTAACCTTGCCTTTGTTTTTGTAATGCAAAGCATAAAGATAATTGATCTGTGTATTTTAGACTAAAGACAGGTTAAAACCTACAGTCTGGCCAAAAAATATTTTGACATCGACAATGTTTTTATTTTAGCTGTCCACCACAGAATATTGAAGTTGAAATGAAATAATGAATATGTGCTCAAAGTGCTTTAATTTAAGGTTATTGACAACTAAATTGGGTGAATGATGGAGAAATTACAACCAGATAAGTACTGATGATAGCAAGAAGCTGAAATGTTTGCTTGGGTTGTGTCTAGCTTTTTGTACTCTGTGTAATGGATAACATTAACATTTTACTATATAACATATACATTTTTGTTAGACTGACTTTTCAGCAGTGTGCGGCCAATACATTTCCCACTCCATTTTTATTGTACTCTATTTTCACACATACATAGCCCCAATTTGAAAAGTAATTGGACACAATCGTAAATTAAATTGTCATTTAAAAAAAAAAATGACTGCCAGAAGTCTGGAATCCGTAGACATCACCAGACGCTGGATTCCTTCCCTGGTGATACTCTGCTGGGCCTATACTACAGCTTTCACATTGCAGTTCTTTTTCTTGGAACATTTTACCTGTTTACCATTTATTTTACCATTTTATCAGTGTTACCTTCAGTAAGTGAAATGCAAGCTGAATTGGATAGAGATTAGGTGACAGACTTGAAGTACATTATACTTGTTTGTCTTGGGTTGCTTTCGCAGTATGCTTCGGTCCATTTGTGGTCCGTAAAGCACTGTCCAATGAATTTTTAAGCATTTGGCTGAATCAGAGCAGGTAATATAGACCTTTATACTTTCAAATTCATCCTGCTGCTTTGGTCAGCAGTCACATCACTAGTAAATGTAAGTGAACCAGTGCATTGGCAGCCACATAGTCCCACACTATTACACTACCTCCACCATGCTTGATAGCTGAGTCGGTTTGCTTTGGATCATGAGCAGTTCCTTGCCTTCTTCATACTCTTCTCTTTCCCATCATTACTGTGCGGTTACTGTCTCTTGATTGTCGACTTTGACACAGATATGCCTACCTTCTGGAGAGTGTTCTTGACTTGGCCATCTGTTGTGAAGGGGTTCTTCTTCACCATTCTTCTGTCATCCACCACAGTTGTTATCAGTGGGTTTTCTGTGCCTTTTGGTGCTTCTGAGCTCAGCAGTGTGTTCTTTCTTTTTAGGAAAATATGGCCACACAAAGTTTTTGCCATCTCTCTGATGGGTTTGTTTTTATTTTTTAGCCTAATGGTGGCCTGCTTAAATGACATTGACAACTCTTTGGACTTTATAATGAGAATTAACATCAAATGCACACTTGTCACACAATTCTAGACCTTTTGTCTGCTTACTTCTAAGTGAAATAATAATGACACACATCTGGGAATAACACACACCTGGCCATGGAACAGCTGAGAATTACTTTTAACCCCTAAAAATCGGGGGCTATATATGAAAGTAGTTGTGATTCCTACACAGTTCATCTGATTTTGATGTAAATACTCTCAAATTAATGTTGAAGGTCTGAGTTCATATTCACATAATTTTAACTTCAATATGCTGTGATGGAGAATAACTTTGATGTCCATATATTTATGCACCTGACTGTGTTGAATGCAGTCATTTATAGAAGTGTAATGACATTAATTGTAAAAGGTGGTGTATTCACTGTAGTCATTGATAAACTCCCCAGAGAAAGCTGTTTGTCGGATACCCTGGGCAGATGTCCGTATTAGACCTGCAGAAGTGCCAAGACTACAATGCCTCCTGTCAGGACTGTGTTCTAGCACGTGATCCATACTGCGCATGGACTGAAAATGGCTGCACCTCACAAATCAAGTATGTTTTCTAAACTTGGTCAACACTAACAACTATCCTACACCTAAATACGAATTCTAAAATGGTACTGTACTATTTTTAATTGCAGAGGGGGGATTCAGAATATTGCCACTGGTGAGACACATGTATGCCATAACAATGCAGGTATGATTTTGCATGTTTTCCTTTTAATAAAGGTAATACAGTATGCTTCATTATTTGGATTTCTGTTCTTTAATTCAAATAATTATTTTCCTCTCCAGCTCCAAATAAATTCATGAGAATCAAGCGAGATGTATCGTCTTCATCACCTGTGCCCCTAAAAATAGAACACACTGTTCCCAGGGGATTCCCATACTACCTTTCCTGCCCCATCGAGTCCCACCATGCCACCTACTACTGGATGCACGGAAATCATTACAGCCCTTGCCAGCAGACACAGTCTGATTGCCTCTATCTCATACCAGCTGTCAATGCAGAAGACTATGGAGAATACACTTGTGAGTCCAGAGAGCGTGACTACACCAAAAAGGTTAAAAAATACAATCTGTGGGATCGTACTAGAAGCAGTGCCTTGAAAATGACAGCACAGAAGGAATGGGTATTGATTGTATCTGCTGCAGTTCTGTTTACAGTGCATCATTTAATCTAGAGAGCAGTATCTTTCTCAAGCTTCCTTGTTTTGTGTTCTGTCCAGTAATTAACATCATGCATCAAAGCTTGGCAGAGGAGCATGGGTGTACGGGTAATAGGGCAGGACCCAGATAGGATTGTTAAACTGTAGGCCTGGGTGTGAGGTCGATTTCTAAAATTTATCTTGTTTATCCCAAAGTTAAATTGTTCCATATAACAGAGAGGTCTGAGCAGAGTGAGATCAGTTACAAAGTAAATGTGGCACTCCCTTCAGTGATGCCTCATTTGCTATAAAGTGACACTCCCTGTTGTTTCATGGTTCTCAAACTTGATTAAGAGAGCACTAAAATATATTACCAAGGGCTGATATTTAAAGCAATATGAGGCAAAATTTAAGCCGTCACAACAGCATTTAACAAGTTTACTAGCCTTATTGACAAATTTCACATATCTGAGGTTGTATCAAACAAAATGAACATTACAGAAAATGCTAGCCCCAAATGTGATTCTCAAGACGGCACTCAAAACAGAAGGACTACTGAAGGTACTAGCAGGAAGAGGTAATGAGATGGCTTTGTGAAAAGAAAATGTTTCAGGTTCAGTAAGGTTTAAAATGGTAAGATAGAAACACTTGCTGAGAGAAATCCAAAAAAAATTGATCTGGCTTGAGTGTGTGGGGTGAAGGAGGGCATGAAGCCGAAGTCGAAGTTCCATGCAAGAGATCCGCTGTACCATAGTTTCATCATATGATTTTTAGACTGCTGAAAGTAATGAGGTTAACAAGAAAGGCTGAGAGTAAAGTTAGGTTGTTTTGAATGTGAGATGAGCTGGATAACTAGTCTAAGGAATAGGTTATGAATGTTATGTGATGTTTGTGTAATGCAGGGGTATCAAATCTTATCCATGAAGGGCCGCGGTAGTCAAATCACTTTTTGTGAGTGATTATATAGGGTCATGTAGGTCATTCAGGGTGTGTACAGTGGCCAACAAGCACAAGTTTACTTTTGTCAGTGACTAGTGTGGGAAATTCATCTTTTGTTCCTTCATCATTTGCCCATGCTGTTATTGAAGGAAACAATGAGCCTGTGAAGAATTTGGTACTATTGTATGTGCATTATTAGCACAGCAGGAAAGTTTGAAGGATTGGCCAAGAGTCAGAAGAACATCCTCAAGACTCTCTCCCATGGCTGTCTAACTGAATTATGTTTTGTAAGTGGCCTCTTTCACTTACTTTCCTCACTTCACACTTTATAGACCTGATTAATCATAAATTCTATATTTATTTCAGCATCATTGCTGTCCAAAAAAAAGACACATTTGTATTTTTTCTATTAGTATTTTTCTGTATCATTTCAATACAGCAATTGTGTTTATTTGAAAATTTTGTGTGAATTTTTGTGATGATCAATAGAAACTCTCCAAAATTACTATGAATAAAACTTTAAAAATAACATACATTTTACATACATACGTTTTTTTTGTTGTTGTTTTGGACAGCAATAGCTGTGTCCTTCATGAGGTTTATTAAGTGTTTCTATGTTGTTTTAAAGAATTACATCAGGGCACACTTTTAAAAAGAAAAGCCTTGGTTAGCGCCCTCTTTAACAGGAAGTGACTGAAAGGCATTGTTACATTCATGTTCTCAGTGGGGACTGAGGTCCATAGGCTTTTGACAGATGGAGCAGAAAGAACTGGGTGTGGTGACATCCGACATGCACTTTTACTTTCAAGCTTTCAAGATGTATATTTTTATATTATTTAAATTTGCTTATTAACAGTTGTTTGTTTGTTTTAAAAAGCTAAAATGTATTTATTTAATGGTTATATATTTATGTATTGTCACAATGTATTTTGTGTTTATGTAGCAGTATTTTCTTACTAAATGCACACTTTTGAAATGATGGCTCAATATAAAGTTCTCTTTTAATTAATAGTTAGATCTTTGAGTTCAATGTTCAGTAATTAAAAAAATAAATGGACATGTAAACAAGAAATCTTAAAAATCGTGTGCTTTATGTAAGCCTCTAAATAAATGTTTATTAATGACTTCAGAAAAACTCCACGGCAGGTTTATTAGAGTTTCACCTCATTAGTTGAGATGTTATTCTGCCTCTAGTACGGGAACACGTTGTCTGCACTGTTTAAATTTTTAAGCATGTTCCATTACGTGATGGAAAACCACTGTGTGAAGTGATCAATTATTAAAAGGATAAAGGCAGATACAATGATTAGGTTTCAAAAGAAACAAGCCTTTTTATTGTGACTGTAGTGTTTCTTGGTAATTTTAACAGCAGTATGCCTTACACCTTCATTTGTTTGTAGTAATTTTGAACAAATGGTTTTCTTTACTATGACATCTTCTGTTCGAAACATGTATCACTTACATCAGATTTAAACATTACCCCTTAGTGGGAGCAAGTTCTCCAGCTATTTTACTGATAGACTTATCAGTATGTTTTGATGAGCTTTGGGGATGGTTCAGTTAATGATGACAAATAAGAAAACACAGGGAGCAGACAGTAAAGAAGAAGCCATAACGATGGCACAAGGTGCTCACTATTGGGTAGATGTGAAAACGATTCCTTCTTATACCACCTACTGCTGCAGTTCCCTTACAGTAGCATGTTGGTACAGTAGATTTTGACTGCTTTGGGAGCAAAATGCACCTCAGGTTTCAATGTATATTAGCATGATTAAGACTTAAGAAGAAATCAGAATAGATAGCCAGATAAAACCTTAACAAAGGCTGTGAGTAATTGCATTCTACTGTGACCTTGCTGTAGCCACTGACACATGGGTAACTGGAAACTGGTCACATTTTCCTAAGACTCCTTACACAATTATCACCTGAAAATAAGAACCTTGCAATAATAGCTGGGAGGAAATTCAAAATGATTCATCACAAACATTCTCAAGGACTGTACTCAGGAAAATGGGCTGCAGTGTCATTGAAGACGTCTGCACGTTTCCTTTTTAACATGTTCACACGTTCACACGCATACACGTTATCTAAGCTGCTTGTCCTCCTGGGTTGTGGAGGTTGCTGTAATCTATCCCAGCGGTCATTTGGCAGAGGGTAGGAAACACTCTGGACAGAGCACGTTCACACTTCAGGGTACAAATTTAAAAACAATACATGTGGATACAACCCTTGTGAAAAGCTGTGGATGTTTGGTAGTGACAGTGGTCATGAAATTGTGTTTTATATACTGTCTAATTACTCAGGGTTTTTTTGGTTAGGATAGTTTGAACGTTTTCTGGGAAGTTATTTTCCCACACATGCCAGATGAGATTCCACACTTCTTTGTTTTCAGTGACTGAAGTATATCAATGACAGAAGATATCAATGAAGAGCCTTAACAGACAGATGCACTCTGTCACATTAATATGAAATATGAGACTTTCTGAAGACCTCACTCTGTCTGCTTGGCTAAGGCAGTGTTTATATTGCTTGAGATGAGATAAATTACTTGCTACTTTTTTTGTGATTAAAACCTCTAGCCTTTAGTTGCTTGTTTGCCCGTGATTAAAATATAAAATCTTCAAGAAAAAATCATGCTGTGGTTGTGTTTTGAAAAAGAACTGAAGAAAAGTTTAAAATCTGCACATTTAAAAAAAAAAAACATTTGAAGCTTTGGGCTCCTGACTGGCTGTCTATGCTGCAAAATATATATATATATATATCTTGACAAATTAAATCATATTAAATCAAGTAGATAAACCTAATATTTCTCTTTTTGAGATTGTGGTAAGAATCTCATATGATTATTGACCTTATTTATGTTTTTTTTTTACTTGTTTTATGAAGTAATGGTTGAAAGAAGCAAAACATCTGCCAAAATGGAGATTTAGCTATCTATGTATAATCACTACAATGACAATTTTCACAACTATTTTAAATATATATATATATATATATATATACACACACACAGAGGTGATCACCCTAATGGTAAATTTGAATGTCTTTAGCTTTGGGCTGGTACCTGCACACTCACTCTGAGTTCACTTCCAGTCACTGTCACCGCTTGAGCTTTCAGTCTAATTGGCTTGACTCTGCATAAGGCAGTTTGTGGCAACAAGGGATTAAAGCCTTCTAAGCCTTTGCAGATGAGAAGTCTGTGACACTCTGATGTAACAAGTGAATAAAATTCTAAATTTTGTTAATAGTTTTTATTTATTCAAATTCAAACAGCAACAGTGTTCGACACCTTTTGTGCTGACTCTATGCACTTCAGTAACACAGCGCACACCCACTCAAATTTTTTGCCAGGGCTGCTGCACTCTCTGCAAGCCTCATTGTTATTCTGTCCTACCCATTTGCCACCATGGCTAGGATTACAGACAATCAGCTTACAGACTAGCTTTTTTATTTTTATCCTGATGTCAGGATCGATGTGAGGCATTACCAGTAATTGAATTTCTGAAGCACAGGACCTTGAGTATTCTGGACTGCCATTTAGATGTGGAGGGCAAATGTCAATGAGCAGTTCCTGTTGTGTACCTCATACCTATTTATAAACATAACATAATCAGGGCCATTGTGCTTTATACTTCAAAAGATTCTGAGGTAATGTGCCACCCTTCCTTCCATGTCTAAAAAAGGAAGTGAATATTCCTGCTATTTGTGTAGCATGCTAGTAGGTGTGTATATATATATATATATATATATATATATATATATATATATATATATATATATATATGTATATATATATATACAGCAGTGCTACATCAGTTTCACTGAGAATGATCCACCACCCAAATAGTACCTGCTCTGTGAGGGACCATGGGGGTCCTGACCACTGAAGAACAGGGTAAAAGGGGGCTAACAAAGTATGCAGAGAAACAGATGGACTACAGTACATAACTGTACAGTGGAAATGATAAAATGGACATTGAGCGCAGAAACAAGGAAGTGGTCATAATGTTATGCCTGATCGGTGTATATATACATAAGGAGAGACAAAGAGAGAGAGAGAGAGAGAGAGAGACTCAGGCACACTAAGATTTTAGAATGTCAAAATGATCTGATCACTTGATCTACTTTACAGGGATGGGAAACGTAATACATCTTACTTTTAAATGTTTATGTACAGATTGTACAGAATGTATTGAATCATAATGGAGAAGTTAGAAAGCTCTTCAAGAGTAGTATGTGTATACTTGCCATAAAAGGTAGTAAAAAAAGGATCTAACATTTTAGGGTTTTTACAGTGATCACATATGCTGTAAAAATGGTTTCATGTTGTTGCCACTGACCACAAAGACGTGTTCAGTCCTTGTGAGCCCACACACAGGATGAGGTTTTATACCAGCAAAGTATAAAAAAAAAGGTTCATTACTCCAAGCTTACTAACCTTCAGGGCACATTACTGACACTGGGTGGTTAAAAGCATGAACAGCAGCTGTAAATCTATTTTGTCCTGGGAGGTGTTTTATGATAAAAGTCCAACTCTTTATCTTCCAGCGATTTAAAAGCATATCCTTTGTTTTTATAGCACTAAAGGTGATTAGTAACATAAACATGCTGCTGAGGTGTGTTACATGATAAAAAATGACATCACTTTAAAGGCTGATAACAGTTTATAGCAAATCAACTAACATACTTATGCATAACCTTGTTGACATACAACTTTGCCCTAATCATATATTACTTCACAGCAAAGATGTAGGCTTCATTTATGAAATCCAAATCAAGATATAAGTGTTTGGTATTGGCTTGAAAACACTGAAACCCTGTGCCACTTTGCTTCTGGTTTCTGCAGCATATTTTTTAAACAAGCAAAATTATCTATCTATAAATATATATATATCTATAAATATAGTGAGATAATTTCACTTAACACAATTACTTAAAACAAGTAAAAGAATAAGTAGAAATAAGTTAAAAGGCCCATTTCATGGAAAGCCAACATTTCGTTGCTTTTTTAAATAACACAGATGAATGTAGTAAATATTGTTAGTTATAGTGAAAACATGTTTGCTCCCCAGTACACAAAGTCCAGTATATAGTCCAGTATAAACTAAGCTGCAAAAACAGCACATTTTAAATGAATTGTTTCTGTGATGTCATGAAAAACAAGCACCAAAATATTTACATGTGTCTGTCCGCTCAACCAACACCCATTCACACTGAAGTTATAAGGAGTGTTTCAGCCTGGATGGCTTTTTGAAAGAAGCAGAGCTCATTCACATATATCAGTCCTAAAGGGACATTAACAAATGAAATCCTGTTAAATTATAAGTGATAAAGAGAGGTTTGAAAATGGTCACGCAGAAAATAATTATGACTGTTTTTTGGTACAAGAAAACACACAAACTCACCCACACAAACCCACAAAAATCTAAATAAATCTAAATAAATAAGCTAAAAGAACAATATATAACTAAAAGAACAATGTATGGGCCCTTCCTATAATATTCTTGCAGCAATCTCAAAATGAGAAATATTAGATATATCAACTAGATTTAGAGGATTTCACTTACCAAGAAATCCTTTTTTGCAGTGTAGACAGTTGTGTCACTCGGAAGCCCTCGCCTGAAATTTAAAAGTGCGCACCCGGAGAGCCCCATTCCAGGCTTTTGCGTAGAGCCCTAAATCCACCCCTGACTGGATGTTGAGTTCACCATGCCATGTTTTATGCAGCTCAATTAAATTCCAGCCCTTCCACTGTTACCACCCCTGCATAAGGGCAAACAAGATATTCTATTGTGAGTA